GAGGGCTAAAATAAGCATTCAAGGTAACGCACAGCCATCATATCTGAACACACGTACTGTACAGCGATGGAAATGTTCACTTGCCAGACATCAAACATCAAATACAGCAGATTTTACTAATGCACCTACTTGGGAATTAAAACATAAATGACAACAGAATCATTTCTCTCGCCTGTCTGCAGAAAACATCTACTGTGCTCAGATTTACCCACATGCTGCGATCAGAGATCTCCATATGAACGCAAACATTTCTATTTAATGATCTGAGCTGCTCTCCACATTCATCCTTTTCATTTTTAAAATGAGAAACACCTGAAAGAAACGTGAACATTTTGCTCATTTCTCTAATCAGATATAAACTGTCAGTTGTATCTGTTGGATTTTTGCCAGAAGTCATTCAGCTTTTTTCATTATGTTATCAAAAGTGTTCGTCTTTTCAGCTGCATGTGACTGGAGGTACAAGCAGAACGTGTTTGTTTGGCACTTGCTGATGTTTTACCTGCTTTAGTGTTGAAATGTGAGCACTGCTGTGAACACAACCGTCTGAAACAACATGAACCTGAACTATAGAGAACGGAGTGCTGTTTACTGTCGCACACGATCTACTCCATGCCTTCTGACGTCTAGTTTAATAGTTTAAAGATTTTTGTCAAGTAAAAGTTATTTCAGTGTAATCGTACAAGCCTCCTCCTTCAGCTGCTGCTTCACGTGTCTTTTTGCTGTCAAATCTTTAAGCAAACGTAAGAATAACTAGTAATATTTCCAGATGAACACTTACTGGACTGAAGCTGAAGCAGCTTCGCTTTACTTGATTTTTCCATAAAATCATGTTCAAATGTGAGTCTCAAATCTGATCATCATGCTTTTGAGGAACGTTTATTTGTTCATCTCTCAATCATCATTGGATTGCATTGCATTACTGTGCTATACAATCTCATTAATTTACATTACAAGCTTCAGAATTTCATCACTTTTTCGTCCATATGAATATCAGCATCTGCACCAAATTGTATATTTTTGCTCAGTTTGGGTCTGTTTTTTCATCCATATTTAGACTATATGAGCCATAAAAGCCTGGGCCCGTATTCCCAAAACATCTTAAGGCTAAAAGTAGCTCATAACTTGCCAATTTAAGAGAAAAACTTAAAAATAATGGGTTTGTCTTTTCTTGGGGGGTTTTGGAGGTTATCCCAACTCCAAATTTTCCTTTGATTATATCCTTGTTTTCATTAACCAGTTGGATAAGAAGTAACAGCTGTTCTTGTGTCCAGTTTTTTTTAACGTTTGCATGTCTTACTATCAGCCATAATTATTCTACTCTGTTAATTAAAAGGCTGTTTATGTGCATATCCGCTAATTGTTTACGAGAAGCACACATGTAAAAGGCTGACAATTAACTGAACATGTAGCTGTTTAATTAGTCACACTTAGCCAGCATTTTAAAATTTTTATTTGAATGTAGCAATTAACATTTTTATTTTTAAACCTTTATTTGAATATGGCAACATAATATAGCGCTCTACAATATTTCTATGAATAAAACTCTGAAAGAGACTATCAGCCAATCACTGTGTGCATAGTTAATAAGCATGCTGACATCATCCATAGCAAAGAGGTCAACCCCGCCCCCTTTACTCTTAGCTTAAGACTTCTCTCTATTCTTTAGTAAAGTTGGTCTCAGCAGCTTTGTGAATAGGTTTTAAGAGAAAACTCTTAGCTAAAAACTTTTACTGCTATTTAGGAGAACTCTTAGTGGTAAGAT